TGTTCCACATCACCGGGTTACGGCTAGGGATTCTTATATCTAATTGATTTTAATTACTAACGGTTAGGCATAGGATTTGATATATGGTTTGTTTTGGGTCAGGGTGGAGACTGGTCTTATTTAATCTAATTTACTGTGCACTAGGATGTCGTTCAGATTTTTATTTTTAGAATATGCAATTATAAGTTTCTGTGTGAATATTTTCGGGTGATTTTCTTGGAGACCAGTGTAGTGTTTTCTAATGATTTTGGACGCACTTCCTGCTGTTGCGCTAAATGGAACTACAAAAGGAGCTATTGCGCTAGCCGTATGAATATTCAAACCTAGGGGGGCTGTTGTTTTCAATTTGTCAATCCAGAATTTTTCTCTTGTTAGCCTAAACGTTTAATATTTCAAGGTGTGGTGTGTAATAAATGTCAATCGTTGACTTGAATGCTATACAAAACAATTTTAATTTTTATTACATGCGTTAGGATTTGGGAGAACTAATTTATCTGTAATGTGTGCCTTTGAATATATTAAAGCTGATGTTTTCCGAACAAGGCATGCCGATACATATAGTCAAATAAAACACAAATCCCATTATGTAGTGCATCATCTTAGTTTGATATAAAACAAAAAAAATATTATTTACACATTCCTGTAGTTCACACCCCAGGAGAATATGTCATTCAACACAGAACGATTTTTCATATACATGTATAACGTTATACAGTTCTTATAAACTTCAAGGCTTTCCGAATTACTAATTCTCTCAGACCAGTCGTGTCTATTAATATCCGACAGTCTTAGTTTTATAGACACAATAAATAACTTAACTTTACTATAGAACACCATATATATAGGCGAAACCTGGAAAACTTAAAGGAGCTAAATCGCTAATTTCTGGAACCTAGAAATTGACACAAATGGGTCGTAACGCATATAATAATGTAATATGTATGTATATAAACTGATTTACATTCAATCGTTTCTGTTTTTTTACTCTAATTTCAATCATATTTTATGTTCGGCGAAATAGCCAGAAGTCTCAGTCGAATGGCAATCTCTAGCGTCTGTTTATTCCAGTCTACACCAAAAGTATTTATTGCGCATGCTGACCAGATAAGAATATGACGTCACCGTTTGACACGACTTGTGGAATATGTTTAGCCTCGTTCTTCGAGTCCCTTGTTACAAATGGCGCTGAAACGCATTATTGAACACGATTCGTGTACCAATGGTAAAATGTTTATTTTGTCTTAAATATTGGATATCAGAAGTTATCTTTTCCCGGTAAGATCACAATGTTGATTTAAATTGACAAATAATTCGTGTTTTCAATGTCAAAGATTTTGGATGATATTGAGTTAGAGACTTGACTACTTTAGCAAAATACTTATTTTGGTTGCCCAGGTGTCCCTACCTAATTCATCAAGTTTACATAAACCTGTTTGCAACATACCAATTATCTTAGTCCAATATTTTATACAGGATAGTCATGCAAAGTGCCCGAAATCTAATAAAACACTAAAATTGCATTTCTTTTGATTGAATACCACGAATTTTTACTGAATTGACTCTGGAGCCACTCTACTTTGTGAAACATTTTTCGGGCATCGATCATTATTTGTGAATGCAATTGCAACAGTCTGATTGGATGGTTGAAACTTGGAATTCAGGTCGGCATAGAGTGGGATGTCGGTTACAAACCGATGTGAAACTTTGAAACTAGAAAAGCAGAAATACCCCGCGACGATTGAATGCTTGTTTTGGATTTGGGATTCCGGTAGGCTAAGGTAGGCTATATTCGACCACCTTCAAGTTTCTGTATTCACGGGCTGGAATAGCATGAATACGCGTTTGCGGCCGCCAAATTTTCCTACGGGGAGTGGGGGGGGGGGGTCTTCACTTTAAGCTCTGCTCCTTCGCCTTTCGCAGGCGAACTTTAAACTCTAGAGCGTCCACTAGATTTTTCAAAGTGATCAAGGGCCATAACTCTGGCCTTTCGCAGGCGAACTTTAAACTCTAGAGCGTCCACTAGATTTTTCAAAGTGATCAAGGGCCATAACTCTGGCAGTAATTATCGGAAATCCTTGAAAATCAATATGCTTCTTCGTCGCATGATCTTATTCACTTTGTATAAATTTAAACTGAATCGGATATTAACTTTATGCTTCTTCGTCGCATGACCTTATTCACTGTGTAAAAATTTAAACTGAATCGGATATTAACTTTAGCTTCGAGAGCGTCCACAAGTTTTTTCAATGTGATCAAGGGTCATAACTCTGGTAGTAATTATCGGCAATCGGTGAAAATCAGTAGGCTTCTTCGACTCATGATGTTAAACATTGTCAATCGGATATTAACTCTAGCCTCAAGAGCGGCCACAAGTGGACGCCGGACGGACCGACAAACGGATGGACGGACGGGGGCGACGACAATATACGACCACATTTGAATGTGGGCGTATAAAAAGGCTTCTGGTCATTAAAAAATTTAAAAGCCACGATATCATCCAACTGTATGAATAATGACTAACATCCTGCCTATCCTGATGTTACACAATTTGACACACTGTCGTCTTTATTATATATATTATCATATTATTATTGGCCTACTTATTCACCAAGGAAGTTCCTCAAATATCCTTTATTTGTACTCATGTTACGGCGTTAAGGGCCAATCCCGATTATATTTTGGAGAATAAAACTACTTAATTTTGTGTTAAAATCCATAAAAAAACCTCTACCTTAGGTGAAATTTACCTTTTGTTATCAAGTACAACCCGTGGATCATGCACTGTATAGAACGACAATAGATTATCTGGTCACCCAACGAAAACATTGACCAGAAATCTTAAAAGAGATCAGGTGTCTTAATAAGCGGTTTTGACGTTCACGTCCAAACGACTCAATATTTTGAGCTGAAATTTTGTGACACGGCAAATACACCATTCCTCTAAACAGCCTGGCGCTTACATTTCATACGTACACGGACTTTTATTTTTGAGACTTGTTAAAATCGGGATGGTCCCTTTAAAGGACAATATTGGTATCAGCAATTATCACATGCATGACAGAACTGGCCCCGTGTTCACAAAGCATTCTCAGACTTAAGTTGAGAATTTACTCAACCTTGTTTGCCTTATTTTAACTAAAATATAGCCCTTTATAAAACTTTTGTTGTTTTGATGTATCAGATATATCCATGAGAAACTATGTGCAAAGTTTTGTAATTCTGCATCAAAGATATTTCTCATAAACAGTGATTGAAAGTTGAGCAAATTCTCAACTTAAGTCTGAGAATGCTTTGTGAACTCCTGTACTGGTTAAACACTTAAGGTCATTGCTACGATAGATGCGTAATGAAGATTTCAAGAAAGGGAAGTGACGAAAGCAAAAGGAAAATACGAGTTATTCGTCTATATAACTGACTGAAGTAACGAACGATAACAGATATACTGGCGAATTTCTTGCACACTGATAATACCGTTGATGAGGACAAGTTGTTACGTGTATATGAGACCGTGAGAGGATATCTGAAAATTCAAAAAATATTATTGGGAGGGGGGTGGGAGTTTACACGGTAAGTTCCGTTCCTTCGCCTCGCGAAGACAACCGGCACCACTGTCTATAACCCGAAATGTTTTCCGGCATGTCATGTTCTGCCCACCCACCCCACTAACATTCATCGAGGCCGTACGCCTCTGATATCATGTATGAAAAAGACAAATCGAAGCGGCCACAATCCCCTAAGGCTCCGGGTGTAGTGGGGCTCTGATGGATTCCTAGTACATCCTAGGGTTCTTTTACGTGCAGGGCAATGAGCACACCGGACCTCGGATTTTCGTCCCATCCGAAGAACTAGATAACTGTCCTTGTCAGACCCTCAAACCGGCACCGCTGACAAGGGGAACCATGCAAAGCCTATTGCGCCCTAAAGAGATCAACACAAAAACAAAAACAAAACAGCAACAACATTCCCACGTGCCCCTACATCACACATCACCACCAAATTAACATATAAATATGCGACAATAAATCTAATATATATACATAAATAAATAAATAAATAACTCTATTATGGTCTCAAAAAAAGAGAAGATTTTAAATGGTATGAAATGAAATGAAATGTGGTTTAACGTCCTACTGTTCTGCTCCAGTGCTGGGCTAATGAAGACGAGCATACGCCATACAGTGTGCTATGAGGGAAATTTTGCCCGGGCAGCGGCACTATCGCCTACTCTTATATCGAATTCCAACTGCCAAGGGATCTTTTACGTGCATTCCAATGTATACACGGGACCTCGGTTTTTCGCCTCATCCGAAGGACTAGGCAGCTGTCCTTGTCAGGCCCTCCGTCAGATTTTAAATAACTAGACAAAAAGCATGACTGTGTTCATGGGTAATGATTTGGATCAGGAAGAACAACACGAAGATTACATGTTAGGTCGACCTAGTGGGCATTGTTAAGTGCAGTTTTAAATGAAGTAAATGAAATGGAGTTTAACGTCCTACTGTTCTGCTCCTAACCTGGGCTAATGAAGACGGGCATACGCCATACAGTATGTTATGAAGGAAATTTTGCCCGGGCAGCGGCGCTATGGCCAACTCCTATATCGAATTCCAACTGACACGGGATCTTTTACGTGTACGCCAATGTGTACACGGGACCTCGGTTTTTCGTCCCATCCGAACGCCTAGACGGCTGTCCCTGTCAGACTCTCCGTTCTGCACCACTGACAAAGGGAAACCACGTCGGAACATCCCGATGAACTTTCTCGACCAATCCAGGAAACCCGGTATATATATATATAGAGAGAGAGAGAGAATGGGGTTTAACGTCCACTCGACACAAACTAGGTCATTTCGGGACTAACATATGATTTAATTTTATTTACATAATTCGCTTGCGCGTAGGGGTCTTTAGCAGTGGGAGGAAACCGGAGGCCCCGGAGAAAACCCACGAGGTTGGACAGGCGACTGAAAGATATAAACTAATAAATAATTTATCAACATTTTATTATTTTATTATTATTTATTGGCAAGTAAGTGCATGTCATACCACGTGTACAAAATAAAACATTTACATCAAAATATAGGGCAAGCATGGCATAAACAAAAAGCAAATTAAGGGCACGTCAAACCACGTGTAGATATAAATCATTTAAATAAAGATATGGGGCAAGCAAAAGACAAATCACGTGTACATAAAAATCATTTAAATAAAGATATGGGGCAAGCAAAAGACAAAGTAAGGAAGACCACGTCAAATCACGTGTACAAATGATACTTAAAGGACAATATTGGTGTCAGTCATTACAACATATGTGATAGAACTGGTTAAACACGTTCCAAATAGATGCGCAAAGAAGAGTTTAAGAAACGGAAGTGACGAAAGCAAAAGGAAAACACGAGTTATCCTTCTATCTAACTGACTGAAGTGACGAGTAATAACAGATAATATTGTCCTTTAAGAAAGATATTTAAATCATGATATGCTTCAAGCACGGCACAAAGAACACAAAGGTGCTTATATACAATATTTTGTTTTTGATAAATAATGGCAGTAGTATCATAAAATAATCCTTTAAGTTTAAATAAATCAAACATGTGTTTAAATATAAACAAGCTGGTTCAAATTTCGATGGACATCAATGCAGACAAAATGAAATGAAATGGGGTTTAACGCCCCTGTTCTGCTCCGAACTGGGTTAATGAAGACGGGCATACGCCATACAGTGTGCTATCAGGGAAATTTTGCCTGGGCAGCGGCACAATGACCTACTCATATATGCCAACTGCAAAGGAATATTTTACGTGCACGTCAATGTATACACGGGACCTCTGTTTTTCGTCCCATCCGAACGACTAGACAGCTGTCCTTGTTAGGCCCACCACACTGCACAACTGATAAGGGGAAACAACGTCGGAAATCCCGATAAACTTTCTGAACACACACTTCAAACAAAATATAATATGCATAAAACATATAAATATATTGATAAAAAGAATAGTTCAAGTTTAGAATTGGCCATCAATTCATGCATCAAATTCTGCTGAGACAAGTGGAATTCTTGATTAAGATATGTCGGTGGCTGTGATTCTCCTACAATGGGATAATGGGACTTAATGATTGGGATTCCTTTATTTCCCCGAGTATTTTTTTTTCTTATTGTACTATGAAAATTAGAACTAACGTAAAATTCACAACGAAACGAAGAAATGCCACGTGCTGATAATACGAGAAGGCGTATTATCGTCTTCAACGAAAACATGTCCATTAATGCGGTGCAATATACAACTGAGATTGGGGCCCCTACGCGTATTTCGGTTTTCAAAAAATGACAACGTTCAATAGACTCCGCCTAGTCTTCTATCTGATGTTTCGTTCTAATTTTTCTTTCATCCGAACATCACTGGCGTCAATAAACTGCTTTAATCGCAGCATGGCGCTGATATGTCCTTTTTTACTTGATGGACCACATTCTTCACGTTTAATAAGAACTAGATTCCCTTTCCCTTGTTTCAGTTTATGACAGTAGGCTTCGTTTAATTCAAACACTCTCAAGGGTTCCTCAAAAAGGGATTTTGAAATAACGGCTAGAACGGTGCGACTGTTATGCATATTGGTTATATTAGCATCAGAAGTTACTTCCCCTATAATACCGTCACGGAATGAGATGTAAGATTTAATAAAATTTAGATCCAAATAAGGAATAAGATTGTCTTTAACCCACAATCTATCGGGAGCATGTTCATCATTTACTAGAACAAATATATCGTGTTGTTTCTGCTCGTCCTCGTGAATATCCTGCGTCCATTTTGATTTTATCTTGGGCAAAATATAAATATGATATGACGCCATTATCTCAAACCGGAAGTAAATAATTCCAATAATTAAAACAATGACTAGAAAGCTAAGTATAACCAACACAATGATAATAGTCACAGAGTTAGATCCCCGACAGTTAAACACACCCGGTTGTAAATTATCAATAGTTATTCTCTGATCGCCATTAGCTGTAGAACACGTTATATTAGGCCTGTTTTTAATGTAAGGTTTGGATTCAAACCAACTATTTAACCACAAACTATCACATGAACAAATTAACATGTTATTAGAAAGATCAATCTCCGTGGATAATAAGTTCTGGATAGTTTTTGGAAGATATTTCAGTCGGTTGTTGGCTAGATTTAAATATTGTAATTTATCGACAGAACTGGCAAATACTTCCGGTTGTATATTTGTTAAATTATTATGTGATAAGTCCAGTTGAACAGTTCTCTCCATATAAGGAAGTGCTGTTAAGTTGTCAATGAAATTGTTCTGGAAGTTCAGAAATAAGTTTTCATGAAAAGGTAAATGTTCTGGCATTTTTGAAAGTCCGGCATACTGACAGTCAATGACCATTCTGTTGGCTTGTGGTTGTTTCTGACATAAACATCCCGGAGGACACGATTCCGTGACATTGCACACAAAATCAGACAAATCTATAGACGTGGCTATCATCCCCGTTAAATGTGCGGGACTGGCACAAGTGACATCTAAATAATCTCGCGGTATACGTTCCCTCAAATTGTCAATTATTGACAGCAACGGGTGCATGCGACAATCGCAGTGCCAAGGGTTGTTGCGTAGGTCAAATCCCCATGGAAACAGTTTACTAAGCACCCTAAGAAACGGATGACCAATTGTTTCTAATGGCGCAGTGTCGAATAACTCAAACTTATTATACCTTAAATCATAGAAGCCGGGCCCGTAATTTTTATCAAAGTCCATTTTAAAATTGGCTTTGTTGGTGACTCTACTTATTTCATTATGCATAACGTCGAAGTAACAGAATTCGTGGGTTATGTTTAAAACCCAAAGGTCTGACTCGGTTAATCTGTTATAATCCAAATGCACAAACTTAATGCTATTTAATCCAGTATGAAAAACGCCGGTCTCTATCGTATGAATTTTATTTCCAGATAAATAAATGACTCGTAGCTTGTCCAAAGAACCAAATATTCCCCTTTTTAGAACTTGAATTTGATTGAATCTTAACTTTAAATATACCAATTGTTTTAAACACGATAAATTGGGTATTTCGCTAATGTTATTGTTATCAAAGTTTATATAATGTATCGTCGGAAAATCACAGACATTTTCAGGAACCACAGTCAAACAACGATCAGGCCATTCCAGGGCGTATTTCGGATCGGAACTAGACGAATTGTTGTACCGAATCCGACCGGTCCCTGGATTTCCACAATATCCATCAATTTCCAAATATGTCAACGCACTGAAGTCAAACGTACAGCAGTCGTTGCAATAGTTGTTGTTGGTAGATTCGCATTCCTCGGCACAGGTCAAAAATTCCGATGATTGACCAATCACTAAATCAGTGCTGGATATGAGTAACAATAGAACAAACGAGATCGCCATTTTATATTCGTCTATTCTCCAGTTATTGATTTTAAAAGTTCAATGGCGAATGTCGGTCGACCCCTTCATCATCTTAGAGACAGGTCATCAAGTGATTTAGCGATGGTAAGCATACCATACCATGTGCACCACACCCATCTGTACTTATAACTGAAAGAAGAGCCGTTAAAAGGTTTAAAAAAAGACACATTATCCAATAGTCTCTGGTAAACCGTTCAATGAAAACAAAGTATACCGCACCTTGTGTGCGACACCTACCTTAATGTATAGGGCACAATGTCCAACAGTCTCTGCTAATATAAACTCATGGTGAACCGCTTGCGAACATGACTGAAGTTTATATTCACTCTCTAAAAGAGTATATCCTATCATTTGGATTTACCACTTTCACTATATCCGTTTTATAAAAATAACTCTTGAGGTCACAGTGCCTGTTGATGTAACGCGAACTGTTTACAAACCAGGAACACATCCGGGATGATTATAGAACAGGGAATGCCATCCAATCATCACGAGCTTCCCAATCGGTTTAGGATGTCACTGGACTTTGAGCCAGACCAGATTGTTTAAATGTCGCGTTCCATTTTTTAAGAGAATTTGTCTGTATGTTATTCCTCGATGGTTACTGCACCACATTATGATTACCGACAGTTTGTAGACTTGTAAATAAACTGCTGGTATTATATAACATTTAACAATTATACAAAGATCATATATCAGAGCTTTGTTATTTATGTCCCTGCATGACCGAATCTCAATATAACTATAAATACATAACAATAGCCGTATGATTACACAGTTTGTGCACGCATTGGAAATATCACATCACTCATTGTTAAAATATATAGCTGAACTTACAAAGATGTTTATTCGTTTATAGTTACCTTGACCTCTTCACATTGAATCTGTTATGGCGACCGTGACAATCTTATAGAAAAGAATTTCTGATCGGAAAGTGGTTACATGTGTATCGTCGCTTGTTTATGAACAAGGGCGAATTGCAGTTTGTATAAAGTCGTTTTAGTAATGTCGTCTACATCCACACCTAATAATTTAAATAATGTTGACTTATACCACTCCAGGGTCAATCATGTCGTTTACTATACATCAACAAATAAATCACAACACATTGGTTTTACATTCGACAAACATGGAGTCGAATCAGAGAGATAGAGAGAGAGAGAAGGAGGGAGAGAGAGAGAGAGAGAGAGAGAGAAGGAGGGAGAGAGAGATGGGGTTTAAAGTCCACTCGACACAAACTAACTAGGTCATTTCGGGACTAACATATTCAATTTCATTTCAATAATTCGCTTGCGCGTAGGGGTCTTAGCAGTGGGAGGAAACCGGAGGACCCGGAGTAAACCCACGAGGTTGGACAGTCGACCCTACTCCTTGTCACGTACAACCGGGGAATCGAAACAACGCCAGTTGACTCGACAAACTTTTTGATACAGCGCACACGCGCTAACCATTCAGCCATCCAACCCCCCCTCTTCGAATCTGAACCCATCGATTACACATGTATAACGTCTTTATAATAAATTAAATAAAATGCGTTTTAGCATCCTACTTGCCCTCGCCAGCAGGGGCACAGGGCCCTCAAGAGGAAAGAAATTTGCTGGGGTGAGACTTTTTTGACCCCCCCCCCCACTCTCTCCTTTCCAACGCTAGTCATATCTAGATGATTAACTAGCAGATTGCAATAAAACGAAAACTTTTGTATATACTTACATAAGCTGCAAGGGACAATAAAATATTCATGCATAACTACCCAGTTCAAATTTCAACTTTGATATTTATGGGCCCCATAGACTCTTATGGGACCTGGGGCGGCACACCGGCTGCCCCGTCTCGTGAGGCCTGGCAGGATATACGTTATGCATTGTGCTGTAAGATAAATTTATCGCTTACTCTTATCGAATTCCAATTGTCACTGGGACTTGTAACGACTAGTTGAGAGGACATCAGTTTTTCGTCCCATCCGAACGACTATAACCTTTCCTCGTTAGCCAGGGCCCATTACACCAGTAATGACAGTAGGTTGAAATAATACTTTTACATGACAAATCTGCCTTATGTTTGCTTGAGAATGTCCGGTTTGTTGGGGTAGAATAGGAATGAAATGAAATGGAGTTTATAACGTCCTACTGTTCTGCCCCGGCTGGGCTAATGAAGACGGGCATATGCCATACAGTGTGCTATGAGGGAAATTTGGCCCGGGCAGCGGCACTATGGCCTACTCTTATATCGAATTCCAACTGCCAAGGGATCTTTTACGTGCACGCCAATACATACACGGGTCCTCGGTTTTGCGTCCCATCCGAAGGACTAGACAGCTGTCTTTGTCGGGCCCTCCGTCCTGCAGCACTGACAAGGGAAAATCACGCCTGTAAGTCCCGATGAACTTTCCCGGCCAATACAGACTAGCGAGACAGCGTCTTACTCACTTAGCCACTATGGCTCCCCTGGGTAGAATGAGGTGGGTGTGGTGTATATGAGACTGACTCTTATTTCCTCCAAGTATTGTATCTCTGGACACATGTAAGGTCGTTCACTTTGCTACACTTAATCCCGTTAAGGTCACTGACGTTAACAATTTTACGCTGGGTATCTGTATCCGGGAGTGCTGCCATTTTACACCCAGATTCATAAAAACATGCGGAATAATATAATGTATGGTGTATATATCTACGTATGGAGGAAGTAACTGTCACTTAAGAAGGATGAGTAGTAAATTATCATGACACGTTTTATAAAAAAAAAAACTATCAATCATAGAACTGTGAATCCCCAAAAATCTGTTAATGTCGTATATCAGTATATCAGAGATAGTATTTAAATAATTGTCACTTAATAAGGATGGTAAAAAATCCTATCAATCAATCATATAACTGTGAATCCCCAGAATCTGCTAATGCCGTATGAATGGTATTAATGCAAAATAATGTCACGATATATATAAATTTGATTAGACAAGCAAAACAGGCATATTATGATAACTTAGATGAAAAGATAAATGACAAATCGCAGTTTGGCAATAAAAGCTGGTGGAAAATTGTTAATTCATTTGTAAAAACCCAAGGCTGCACTAAACAAGACACACCACCCTTAATTGTAAATAACAACACTTTATTCACCCCGCAAGACAAGGCAAACGCACTGAATAAATTTTTTGTTGAATAATCTAAACTTAATGATACTAATAAATCTTTACCCTCCATTGACAGAAATGCTAATTCATTAGAACAGATCGTACCAACCCCCCAAGAAGTTAAAGACATTATTGACAGTTTAGACACCTCAAAAGCCTCTGGTCCGGACGACATAAGTGCCAAATTACTAAAGAAAATATCCACCGAAATTTCATCTCCGCTATGCTCTTTGTTTGAACTGTCATTAAAAGTAAGTAAAGTACCCAGTATATGGAAATTTGCAAATGTCAGGGCTATTTTCAAAAAAGGATCATCAAACGATTGTGGTAACTATAGGCCAATCTCTCTTCTTAGTATCATCAGATAAGTATTTGAAAAGGTTATATACAAACATGTCTTTAACTTTTTGAGAGGGAACAAAATACTAACGTCTTTTCAAAGTGGTTTTCTTCTTGGTGACTCCGCCATCTTTCAACTAATAGAACTAACACATATGTTTTGTCAAGCCATTGACCAACATTCTTCTACTCGAGTTGTTTTTTGTGACATCAGCAAAGCGTTCGACAAAGTTATCAAGGGCCATAACCCTGGTAGTAATTATCGGACATTGCTGAAAATCAATAGGATTCTTCGTCTTATGACCTTTAACACTGTGTATAAATTTAAAGTCAATCGGATATTAACTTTAGCCTACAGAGCGTCCACAAGCAATTGTGGACGCCGGACAGACGGACCGACGGACGGACGGGTGCGACAACAATATACGACCACATTTCAATGTGGGCGTATAAAAATGATATATTTTATATTTCAATGCAAGTGTTTCTACGGAATGGCGCTCGCAAATTGACTTATGCTACAAAAACACGGGGAATGATTTGCGTTATTTCTTAGGTATATTGTAAAGATATACAGTATATGTTGTAGAGATATATTATGTATTGTTTAATGGTCGAGAGCGAGACATTAAGTAATATATTGTAACAACAAGAGGAACGTAAAATTCCTAATCTGTGTAAAACACGTCAGGCATTTTAGCATATCCCACGCATCTTACTTGTGTAGATTAAAAAAAGCTATTCAATCTGTCAATACAATGGTTGAAAGTTAAAGATACATTATGTAAGATTTAGATAAAGAGCTAGCCATTCTTGCTATAATCTATAGTTCGAAAATAGATAATGTAAAATGAATAATTTGAAATGTTCATTCAAATTACTCTATTGCGACTAAAGAAAGACCCACAACAGGCAGATTTAGCTCTTGCATAATGCATGTTTGTGTAAACTGCGTGAACAACATAGGAAACTTCATTCTTATCGTAATCATCTGAAATAAAATGAAATGGGGTTTAACGTCCTACTGTTCTGCTCCTAAACTGGGCTAATGAAGACGGACATACGCCATACAGTGTGCTATGAGGGAAATTTTGCCCGGGCAGCGGCGCTATGGCCTACTCTTATATCGAATTCCAACTGCCAAGGGATCTTTTACGTGCACGTCAATTGTACACGGGACCTCGGTTTTTCGTCCCATCCGAACGCCTAGACAGCTGTCCCTGTCAGACTCTCCGTTCTGCACCACTGACAAAGGGAGAACCACGTCGGAAAATACCGATGAACTTTTTCGACCCATCCAGGAAACCCGGTAAATGAAAGATATATATATATATATATAGAGAAATGGGGTTTAACGTCCAGTCGACACAAACTAGGTCATTTCGGGACTAACATATGATTTAATTTTATTTACATAATTCGCTTGCGCGTAGGGGTCTTTAGCAGTGGGAGGAAACCGGAGGCCCCGGAGAAAACCCACGAGGTTGGACAGGCGACTGAAAGATATAAACTAATAAATAATTTATCAACATTTTATTATTTTATTATTATTTATTGGCAAGTAAGTGCATGTCATACCACGTGTACAAAATAAAACATTTACATCAAAATATAGGGCAAGCATGGCATAAACAAAAAGCAAATTAAGGGCACGTCAAACCACGTGTAGATATAAATCATTTAAATAAAGATATGGGGCAAGCAAAAGACAAATCACGTGTACATAAAAATCATTTAAATAAAGATATGGGGCAAGCAAAAGACAAAGTAAGGAAGACCACGTCAAATCACGTGTACAAATGATACTTAAAGGACAATATTGGTGTCAGTCATTACAACATATGTGATAGAACTGGTTAAACACGTTCCAAATAGATGCGCAAAGAAGAGTTTAAGAAACGGAAGTGACGAAAGCAAAAGGAAAACACGAGTTATCCTTCTATATAACTGACTGAAGTGACGAGTAATAACAGCTAATATTGTCCTTTAAGAAAGATATTTAAATCATGATATGTTTCAAGCACGGCACAAAGAACACAAAGGTGCTTATATACAATATTTTGTTTTTGATAAATAATCCTTTAAGTTTAAATAAATCAAACATGTGTTTAAATATAAACAAGCTGGTTCAAATTTCGATGGACATCAATGCAGACAAAATGAAATGAAATGGGGTTTAACGCCCCTGTTCTGCTCCGAACTGGGTTAATGAAAACGGGCATACGCCATACAGT